TATAAAGACGAAACGATGATTGTAGAGGGCGCTGATCGTCTAGATAGGCCAGCTCTTCTAACGGACATTGTATTTTTTTCCAATAAAAGAAAAATCGTAGCATATTACAAGCTCGATTTTTTTTTATTGCGAAAAAATGCAACGTTTCAACGGTAAGTTCAATTTTTTTATTTTCAACCAGAATAACTTAACAACGAAAGCTGGATTTTTATACGGGCACAGTTTTCATCATCTGCATTAATAAATATCACTAACAATTTTCCAACGAAAGTATATAAACTTTAAATTTCAATAATTGATATTTTGAATATTAAGGTATATGTGAAATGAAACAATAGGAGACAACTTGACTTATTAGCGATACAAATTTACCACGTTAAAACTCGTCGAAAATTGACGGTTTTAATTAGTCTCGTTTCTTTTTACAAGACAAAAATAAAATATTATATATTCGTGTGTGCGTATATGTGATATATTTTCTTGCAAAAACAAAATAAATAAAAATCGTCCGTAGTAACATCGTATTATAATTTTACATGATGAAGTTCTATCAAAAAATGGACATCCGAACAAGATAAGCTCGAAAATAATTCAAGCAAAATAAATAACAATATAATTTTAATAATGAATTCTTGAAAAAGAATCTTGGAGATGTCTCTTTTGAAGATGCATCATATTTTAGATATTTTTAGAAAGTCGTCTCGCGCGCACGCAGACGTCCGTCAAACATGCGCGTTGCTTTCTGGGGTGTAATATACATATATTTTTTTCAGTATAATTTATAATATAATTTGCGTCTCACATAATTTCTGTCTTAATTTACAGTACAACTCGCTGAGTTCTGATTTCGATGTCGTGGGTGCGTGCGGAAGTGCGCAGCTCCCGCACATTTCTTCGCGACGTCGGAAGAATATGACGGCTCCTTAGCGCGAGATCCTTCCTTAGCCATAGCCATCCAAAGAGAATTATAATAAATTAAATCGCGATAACCATACCAATTACAACAACACAATCAAATTACACAAATGTTTGTCGACTCTCGTTCTCGTTCTCGCAGCCGCGTTGTTCGAAATATGACGATTCCGAACGTATGATCTTCTTTCCTCCTTCCGGACACGAATGCGTCCAGGTACTCTCTAAATTCCTTAGAATGAAAACGAAATAGAAATTCACTCGAAGCGTAGTGAAAATACTGACCTCGGAACTGTGTGTGGGAGAAGGATGCTATCGTATCAACAGAATTCGTCAGCAGCAGTATAATCTAAATAAATAAAATGATCCAATAGCAACATTGTTAAAATCCTCACTCGGATTACTACAACAATGTACGATGTATTAGTTTGAACGATACCGTCATTAAATCAAGATTTACTGCCATTATGACGTCATTGACCGATTCTGTCGACACTACAGCACTCTTTTTCTTCTCGCGTAAAAATGATCGTGTCACTCCAGCTTAGAGTGGACTCTAACTTCGCGCGAGTGCACATTTCGACCGATTCAAGTAAAGTTCCTGTAAAACAATGGAATACATCAGATTTGCCATTCAATTTTCAGAAGACATTCACTGGACGATTTAGAGTATTTTGCATGAATGAAAAATCACCTGAATCCGAATAACTTACTTTACATTTTGAGTGAGCTCCGTCTTTTCGATACAGCATTTCTTTACTTTCGTATAAAAGTGAATGTTTCACTCGAACTTATAATAGATTCTAACTGCGTGTTTCAATCGATTGGGCTGAATTTGTTCTTGTAAAACGATGAAATACATCAGATTCACTGTTGAATTTCAAGAAAATATTCATTCGACTTCAGAGTGCAAAATTCATTCCATTTGAGTGAAAAATCACTCAAATTCGAGTGAAATGCTCTACTTCGATTATTGGGTTGTTCGGAAAATAATTTCGGTTTTTTCAAATAGATAGTGTTAGTCGCCTTTTTAAGCAGTTAATCTCATTCTAAACCAGAAAAACATTTTACATTTTTGCAACACACATTTCAAGCCTCATTTGAAAACAGTTGTTTTGGAATCTGTCAAGTTGATTTTGCTTGGCGTCATATCAAAAATGGAAAAGTAATATGAGCATTTTCGTTATATTTTGCTTTTTTATTATCATAAAGGCAAAATTGCAGCGCAAACAAGAAAAAAATTGTGTGCCGTGTATGGAGAGGATGTGTTGACTGAACGCCAATGTCAGAATTGATTTTCGAAATTTTGTTCTGGGAATTTCGACCTCGAAGATGCACCACGTTCTGGAAGTGGCCAGTTGAGACTGATGAAGATCAAATAAAGCATTGATGGACGCAAATCGTCATTTAACAACATGAGAAATTGCTGAGAGATTGAATTTATCGAATTCGACCATGCGTGAGCATTTGAAACAACATGGTTTCGTTTCGAAGCTCGATATTTGGATTCCACAGGTTCTCATAGAAAGATATTTGATTCGTCGCATTACCATCTGCGATTTACTGTTGAAACGTCAGGAAAACGATCCGTTACTGAAGCGACTCATAACTGGAGATGAAAAATGAATTGTGTACAACAATATTAAACGCAAACGATCATGGAGCAGATGTGACGAACCAGTTCAAAGCACACCGAAAGCTGATATCTATCAAAAGAAGGTGATGCTCTCTGTTCGGTGGGATTGGAAAGGAAAGGAATGGTTTTTTTTTGAGCTGCTACCAAACAACCAAACGATCGATTCGAATGTATATTGTCATCAGTTGGACAAATTGAATGATTCCCTCAAGCAGAAGAGACCAGAATTGGCGAGCGGAAAAGGTATTGTGTTTCATTATGACAAGACCTCACACAAGTTTAATGACTCGCCAGAAGCCAGTTAGCGCTTGGATGGGATTTGTTACCGCATCCATCATATTCACCTGATCTAACACCATTCGATTATCGCTTGTTTCAGTCACTGCAAAATTCTTTGGATAGTGAAAATTTCGATTCAAATGAAGGTGTGAAAAATCACTTAATTCAATTTCTTGCCAATAAAGACCAGAAGTTTTATGAGCGTGGAGTCATGTTATTACAAATCAAGGTAAACTGAAAATTAAGCAAATCAGACCTAACGCCGGTGACAAAGCGCAAATAATAATAATACTAATAACATTAATAATAACGCCGGTGGACAGGCCCAAACGTTAAGTATTTATTGAAATTAATACCCTCCTCAGTGTAAGTAACTCCATTAATATTAAAAATCACGAAAAAAAGTCGTATTTAAAAGGTCGCAAAGAAAAATCCAATGTCTTTAGCAATCACTAAATCTAGATGCAAAGATTCAAACCGCAAGTGTGAAAATTACGAAAAAGTCACACTTTCCATCTAAGTGTTCAACATCCGATCAAGATATAATAATAATACACGGCGTGTTCTCGCAACGCTCAATACCAAGTGATTAATTTCAATAAATACTTTGCATTTGTGCCTGTCACCGGCGTTATTATTAGTGTTATTAGTATTATTATTATTTGCGCTTTGTCACCGGCGTTAGCTCTCATTTGCCTAATTCATCAATTTATCTTGATTTGTGTGTGTGTATGTTATCTTCGAGAGCTGTGCTTATATTTAATTGTCATGTTATTAACTCAGGGATGGCAAAAGGTATTAAAACAAAATGGTCAATGCTTAACAGAATAAAACTTTTCTTTCTATTAGAAATATCGTCTTTCATTTTCATGCAAAAAACCGAAATTACTTTCCGAACAACTCAATAGAATGAAATAGCAGTGATGAATTTAACGACGGAGTAGGATGAAAATTGTAGAGTGAAATTTCATTCTGTCGGTACAGCAGCAGCACCTCTCCTTTTGCGAAAGTGCGAAAGTGAATTTTTTCACTCGAGCTTAGAATGGTTTCCAATTCCGCAGAAACACGTGCCTCTCTGTCGGCTCGATTGAATTTATAAAACGACGGAATCCATCGGATTCGCTATGTTGAATCTCGAGTGAAGGATACTCTCATTCGACGGCCCAGAATAGAAAATTCACTTGTACTCACGAATAAAAAATCGTTCGAACTCGGGCGTGTCTCACTCGGCAACTCGAGTGAAGTCTTGCTCCGAGAAATTTAAAGAATACACCCGCATCGAATTACAACGGTGACGTGCCACACGGTGTAACGACAATCGAATTATTACACCGGCCATTTGACGCTCGCGAGTCCGCGAGTCCGCTTGCGTGCTCGACGCGTCGCGTTATTTTTCCGGCGAGTTGATGCCTAATCGGATCACAGGTATTCGACAGCACCTGGGCAGGTGACGCGCCGCGCCGCCGTTGTCATCGAGTATCGTCGTGGTCACACTGCCGGACTGTGCCAGCGCCGGTACCGGACTGTGTCACGTCATGGAACCGCCGTGGACTCTCATGTGCCTATTGAGATTACCGCTTTGACTAAATCTAAGCAGACACAGCTTACACTGGTACGGTTTCTCACCGGAGTGAATTCGCAGGTGCTTGGTGAGGGTCGAGCTGTCGGAGAACGCCTTCTTGCAAAATCGACACCTGGAAGTAGACCGGAACAAATTAACAATCGATATGCGCGCGAGAAAAGAGGGAGAACATAATTAAATCTGTTTTAGAGGGGAAGATTGTTGGCATGTGAGGCATAAAATCATTCAATGCGTTAAAAGAAAGAATGGAAAAGATTAAAATGTGGTTAACTGTAAATTGAATATGTATATAAAGAAGAGATCGTGAGTATACTGATACATTAATGTTTTGCGGACGAAAATATTTTAACGAAAGAATATTAAAACATACATAAAATAAGATAAAATAAAATAGAATAAATATAGATAAAATAATGTCAACCTATTATCTTTATGATTCTGGCGTCACTTCATTGTCGTGCTGTTTCATAGATAGATAGATAAAATGAAATAAACAATAAAAAAATATAAATGAAATAAATGGACTAATTAGACAAAATATAGGTGGACTAAAATATAGATAGAATGGAAGAGAATATAAAATGGGATACAAGCGTAATAAAAATTATCAGATTATTAAAATATATGCAATTTACATGAAACTATGGGCATGATAAGCCTTTATGGACGTGCGTCCGATTTTTAATATTCACTACACTGATAGGTAAAAACAGCAACGATAATAATGCATAAAGCTGTTATAATATTTGTTTGATAAGGAGAGAAATTTTTTATGGGATCGATATCCAACTTCAGACTTCAGAAGAGAATGCACGGAAGACATCTATATACCTGTACGGTCGTTCGCCCGAATGCGTCCTCATATGCGTAGTGACTGAGCTGCTCTGCGAGAATCTCCGGTCGCAGACTGGACATCGGAACGGCTTTTCGCCTGAGTGTGTCCTCGCGTGCGCCGTCAGATTCGCCGCCTGGCTAAATGCTTTCGAGCACGCGTGACATCTTCAAAAAGAAACATGCGCTATTGTCGGTTTTTAGAGTATTAAAAAACCGCGAGTGTTCCGTTATTGGAGAGTGAATATATTGTAGTAATATTATAAAGTTTACTATATAACATCCAAAAAAAAGTATTCTATTTGTAAAGTGATTTTTCCCATAGCTCCTCATATTCTAAGCGAAGCCTTTTATAGAAGAAGGATTTCTCTTTCCATAAAGCGATTAAAGTGAAAGATCCATCTAAAATTTATTAGATATTATTCTTCATATATCAACTAATTTTTCTCTTATACGAAGAGGAATAATGTTGATTTGAATGTCGGCTTCTTTTGTTCAGTCATGCTCTACTTCCAAACATGAAAGAAAAAATAAGCATATGCTCATGGGTCAGAATATTTGGAACGCTTTTTGAAAAAGGTATGTGTGTTGCTGTAACATACGAAGATAATTTACTCATATTTGGTCAAATATAGTTTATAATCTATTGCAAGAAGTTGAATAATATATTCTTTCTTCTATGTCTCATACAATTGATTATGACAAACATTTTTATAGCTATGAAGTTTGTAACAAAACTGATTGAAAATTTACTTATTATGATGATCTTATTTCATTCGTGCCTTATTTATTGTAGAACTGGAGTCAGAAGTACATCTATATATATATATATATATATATTACTTTTCGCTATACATTATAATAATTTTTTTTAAATTAACCAGTATAACTAATAAAAATAAAGTACAGAAAGAATAAATAATAATTCTTTTAAAAAAAGATTAAATAATCTGTGTATAAGAGAAAATTTAGATTAAAATCAATAAGATTTGCGTTATACATATAATCTCGTTATACATATAACATATAATCTCTCTAACTTTAAGAATAATGTGTTGATAGTATTTTCCTTTTAATGTTAGAGGAATCCTCTTGAGACCATATATAAGAATAAAATCCTTTAAAATTTAAATGATTCCGTTTGTTCTAAATTTACTTTTTTTTGGATGAAATTGATTATCCATAAGTTACAATTGACAACCGTATAAAAATGGTACAATGATGTACCTCGATAACGGTGAAATTTTTTGTTAATAATCGCATCTTATATAAAAATGATTGTTTATAAATTTTCTCTTTCTCTCTCTCTCTCTCTCTCTCTCTCTGACAAATTGAAATTTTATAAAAATATCGTAAATATTTTTAGAAATGTGAATTTAGAAGAATCCGACAAATAGTGAAAAATTATAAATCTCACTTTTCAAATCTTTCGTCCGCGTATTTATACAATTTATAAAAAATAAGGAAAGATAAGGAAAGATATTTGAGGAATAAAGTCTTTTTTTCTAGACAAGTTATAAGTAGAGATTTTTAAATGCTGTGTAGAAATTTCAAGGCTTAAAATTTCTGTAGAAATTGTCTTAAAATTTTTGCAGAAATTCGGTTTTAAATCCTTTGCAGAATTTCGAACTTAAAATTTTTGTAGAGATTTCAAGTCGGTCTGTGTGGAAACTGCTGTAGAGATTTCAAGTAACGTTCTCAAGAGTACTCCACGAACAATTCCAAGAATATATATTCTCTATCAGAGAGAGAGAGAGAGGGGGGGGGAGGATCGCGGCACCACGCGGCGAGATCGTATCCCCGGCACCAACCTGAACGGCTTCTCGCCGGAGTGCGTGCGCAGGTGAGTCTTGAGGGTGCTCGGCCTAGCGTAGGATTTGCCGCATATCCTGCAGAGGTTCGGCCTGCCGTTATCCTCGCCGCTGCCTACGGGGTTGATGCCTGCTGTGACCGCCGGCGGGCCAGCGGTACCGACGCAGATCGCGTGCTCACCACCGGCGAGCTGTAGCCGATGATGTGGCTGGGGGTGCGAATGGGGGTGGCCGCCGCCGCCGCCGCCGCCGCCACCGGCGATCAAGCTATTGGCGGCGGCCGGCGCGGCCGAATTCACCCTCGTCTGCGCTGCCGCCTCCACCGGATTGTACTGCGGGGCGGGACTCAAAAGTGGCTCCACGCCCCATGCCGACGAATAGCTCTGCTCGTACCTGGTCACACACATACACATATATGTACATTCGCATATACATACAAGGATTTACGCACACGTGTACACGGAAGAATAAGGGTAGGATCGAATAACTGTACATTGGCGGTTGTTACGATATGGAGAGAGCAAGATGGCCGTCGAGGGATGAATACTTCTCTATGGAGGCGAGGAGACTCGACGAAGTTATGGAAATTATATCAGGGAGGGGAGACGCTGAGACGGGGAAATACTGGTATTTTGGCAGAGCAAGGGAGTTGGGATTTTTTTCTGAGGCTCGCGGTATTGTTTCGGGGACGGATTGCGTCGGGATGATCAGTAAAATTGGATCGCACAGAGAATTTGAGTTTAAAATCAACTTCCGAAATGAGATCATCTGAAAATAAAACTGGAAAAGGGTAAAATCATCATTGATTCTAGAAAAAGGGTGGATACGCCTTGTCCTTCCCTTTCAAAAAAGAGAAATACGTCGACGATTGAAAATTTATGAGTTAAAATTCCTGAAAATTTATAATACCGAAACCCAAAATATTTCGATATAATTCACTAAAATACTATTTTTTGAACATATTTGAAGCAATTGTTCCGAAAAATTATGATACTGAAATCAGTACGAGAAAAATGCACAAAAACTATCGGTATTATTTACTGTTGTTCTATTGTTATTTTGGGAATTGTATTTTTCGGTACATTGTTGGACTCGATATGTTTTTTTACACGCCTCCTAATGAAAATAATGAAACATTTAGCATCTGAAGACTTAAGTTTACTCCGAAGACTTAAATTTACTGCAGCTTTCAACTCTCATATATTTCAGTTTCATTCCTCTATTTTTACTTTCACTTACTTTACGCAAGCACATGAACTGTATTTCGCATACATAACTTTTCCTGTCTTATTCTTTCACGAAACAAATCTCAATAAACATACTAGAGATGTGCGAATCAAGAATTTTTATGTCGAATCGAATCTTATTTTTTAAATTCGAATTCGAACCGAATCAAATCTATGAAATTTCACTCGAATTCGAATCCAATCGAATGAAATCGAATCGAATCATTAAAAAATTCAACGTGACTATCAAACGTGCGAATAATGATGGAAGATTTTAATATAAAAAGGAATATTGATATTGGAATATTATCTTAAAGTAAAATATATATTTAAATATTTAAAGTAATTTATAATAAAGTTATTAATTATAAGTTAAGTTAATTACAAGTTAAGGCTTCAAACACACAGGCCCAGATGGCCCGTTTTGCAGCTGATGCGCGCAAACGATAATGTATGATATTTGATTCCTATTCGAATTATTCGCATTCGAATCGAATCGAATGTAATTCGATTCGATTCGAATTCGAATAGTTCGCGCATCTAAAACATACGAATGACTATTTCAATCAAGTCATCATATTTTGTGATATAAATCGGAATGTGGGAGATTGTTTTGGGGCCTGGAGTTTTTGGGACTTTAGGACCTCTTAGGGAATCCAGCCTTCATACACACATACTCAGAATGGCAAGGCAAACTCGAATCGAATTACATTCGATTCGACTCGATTCGATTCGAATTCGAATAATTCGCACATCTAAAACATACGAATGACTGTTTCAATCAAGTCATCATATTTTGTGATATAAATCGGAATGTGGAAGATTGTTTTGGGGCCTGGAGTTTTTGGGACTTTAGGATCTCTTAGGGAATCCAGCCTTCATACACACATACTCAGAATGGCAAGGCAAACTCGAATCGAATTACATTCGATTCGACTCGATTCGATTCGAATTCGAATAATTCGCACATCTAAAACATACGAATGACTGTTTCAATCAAGTCATCATATTTTGTGATATAAATCGGAATGTGGGAGATTGTTTTGGGGCCTGGAGTTTTTGGGACTTTAGGACCTCTTAGGGAATCCAGCCTTCATACACACATACTCAGAATGGCAAGGCAAACTCGAAATCGTCTTTCAACTTCATTAGTTGTCCAAATGAATGCTCGCTTACCCGGAGTGCATGTTCATGTTCATCGTCATGTTCATGGAGACGTTGACGGACATAGCCGGCGCGGCGCCATAATGGGCGCCGACCGGCGGCACCGAGCCGGGTCCCAAATTCTGCACATAGTCCTGCGGCGAATAGTGATGTGCAGTGGTGGCGGACGGGCCGGTGGAGTAATACCCCGCCGTGGGGCTGCCAGGATGCACCACCGCGTGCTTGAGCGACAGCAGGACGTCGGCGACACCCTCGCCGTTCGGGCCGTTGCTCGCGCCCCTCGGCACGCATTCGCCGCGAGTGCAGCCCCAGCTGGAAGAAACGGAGGAGACTATGAGGAGACCGAGTCGTGCTCGTAATCGCGCGCGATTGCGTGGGCGATCGAGAAGCTGAAGATGGTAACGTCGAGGATACTTTATTTCCGATTTTATCTCAACCCATTCGAAAAATTAATTTTTCTTCATTTGTTTACAGCAATTTGTTAAAAAAGATTTTCTTTAACCAATTTAAAGCACCGATAATCATCGCTCCATGATCAAGAATCCATGCCAGAAACCCAGTAGTTACTTTTTTCGCATCTTCTTCTGGTTTAGGCATGGGCTGGAGCGAATACATCCATATAGAGATTGTTTGTAATTTTTTAACAACGAATGAAGCGGAAAATCGAGAATGTAACACGTGTTTCCTTAGTGATCTTTTCCCGTAGAGTCGATTGGCGTGGTTAGTTTTTCGGAAAAATTAATTTTTCTTAATCTGTTTGCAACAATTTGTTTAAAACATTTCTTTTCGACCAATTTAAAGCACCAATAATCATTGCTAGGACCTGCTAGGATGCCCTGAAACCCAATAGTTACTTTTCTCATATCTCTACTGATTTAAGGATGGGCCTTAATGGGTTAATCAACACGTTCGCTATCGCGCTTAGATTGGAAACTCGCTTATTACAGGTTGTATCACACTTTCAGTAGTCGTATTTGATATAGAGCACAAAAACTAAGTATTTTGCATAAAGTGTCACGCATTGTGTGACGTTGGCGGCGAACGTGTCAGATTCAAATAAAACCGCATTGATCGTACATGATCTTCAGCACAATATTCACACAGCCGAATCTTATTATAATCGAGATCTCGAATGTATCCGCAGATGCTGTGTGAGAGTTCCGTTTCATCAGCTGAACAGCGTTTAGCCCTTGTCTTGAGACGAAGTTCAAGACAAGGGGGGAAGTTCAAATTCAGGATAAAATTGACTCAGGATAAATTCGAGCAGATACCGTTGTTCACTAGTAGGGTCCTCCAGTTCGACCTGGACCTGCTCAAGCGAAGCGCACTCACTTGTACGTGCCGGAACACGGGCTGAAGAGGCCAGGCGGCAGCGGATCGAGGTCAAGCGGGGGCAACGGAAAGCCCGCCATGTCGTCGACCCAGAAACTCGCGCCGAACTCGCTCACTTGGCCCTGACCGGCACTCGAGAGCTGCTGATGCTGCTGCTCGATGTCATCCGCCGGCGAGCCGTCCTGCAGATCCTGAAGACGCAGCGTGCCCTGCAGAGCGCCGAGGGCCGCCGCCGCCGCCACCGCCGCAGCCGCCGCCGCCTCCTCGTTCTGCTGGCTACCGCCGTCGGCAGTTAACGCGACCTCGTCGCCGGAGAGCACGCTCAGCGTCGTTGGACCGCCGCTCGTGCACAGCCCGGACGGGATCGTCGCCTCGATGCTACCCACCGAACCTGCGGAACCCAACCGGGCGGATTAAGAATGATTCCTCCGGGGGGAGCCGGGGCACGGGTTGAGACCCGGACGAGGTGTTCTCTTCGAGGTGGTGCCGGGGTGCTCGGATTCACGGCGCTTTCCGGACGAATGTCCCGTCTGGAACTCGTCTTTTTCTGCTCATCAGCAAGGTTTGCGCGGTTGCAAGGCATGCGTGGGAAAGCTAGGCTCCGGTATCTCCGCGATATTTACGAGAAGAGTGCGCTTGATAACGAAGACATCGCACAAGCGTTGATGACAACAGAGCATATTTCAAGTGGAAATATGCGGATAGAGACAAAACGTTCTGTGGGGAAGTACTTCTGCGTCGACCGGATAAATGTTAACACTTAGCTTCCTAAGAAGGAGGACACGAGAGGAAGAAAGACGACTCTCGAGCTGGCGACTCGCAACAACTCGCAGATGAAAGAAGAAAGACGCAGTGTCCCATGAAAATAGAAATGTACCGTACTCTTTTGCCCGATGAAGCGAACTGTGAAATGTTCACGCAGCTTTGGAAACAGATCCACCAAGAATGTGGCTCCGAATCCGAAGCGAAAGCCAGCAGAAGGATAGGCAAGTTGCTCAAAATCATCGATAAGTCGAAAATCACGGAAATAAATGATATGAAATAAAAAGTGACTCAAAGGCACGACATATAAGTCGTCGACGAACGTGCACGTCGAATGCTGAAGAATCCAAGGCGAGAACGAGCTGCTCGAGCGGGTCGCGATTTTTCACACGATGCACGCCACTATGTCGTTATCTCTGTGGGGTGGAAAAAAACTCCGAGGCTGTGTGTCTTTCTCTCCCCTACCCCCACCCCCTCTCCTTCTCTCTTTTTTGCTCTCGCTCACCTGTGCCGAGGGTGTACGGCGGCTCGGAGGTGTTGACCGCGTGATGATTCTGCAGAAACTCCATCTCTGCGAAATTCCCGACGACAGCCACCCCCGGATACACCCCTGTCCCCCGTGCGTCCCTCTTCGCGCAACCCTCGGCGGCGGCGGCCGGATCTCGGCCGCCTCTCCCTATGGAGAGACGCACACCGCTGGTCCAACCCTCCGCGCTCCCGTCGTCCTGGTAACCGCGCGGCGCACAGCTTCACCGCTCGCAGCGGCTCGCCATCGATGGTCGCCTTTTTCGCGCGCTGCGCAAGGTGAACGGCAGGTAAACGACAGAGATTCAAGAGTCGCATCGCGCTGCTAAGTGAATGAGAATTAATTGGGCTCTTCCTCAACGGGACTGTCGTCTCGGTCATTCGTATGAATCTATTGGGTGGTGAGATAATTTGCGCGACGCCGCTCGTGACAAGCAAGGAGGCCGTATTCGACGAGTAGATGTTGCGTTTCTCACGAGTAATTCTTCTCATCGAGAAGTTGACGAAAGAATGTCGACGGTACGGCTCACGTTCTGAGTTTGCTTACGATTTGCCGTGGGAATTAGCAAACAGGGCGCCTGATAATTCGCACGCATGCTAGAGCGCGTTAAACTGAAGAGGTCCTTTAACATTTTGCAATTTGCCCAATAGTCGCTGAAAGTTGTCTCGATTGAGTATTGTCGGCGAATAAGCGCGCGGCGGAACCGTAGTGTATATGAGTAAACAAACCCGAGCCATGACGTCGGCATGGCTCGGGTTTGTTTACGATCCGTTGTGTGAATTATCAGACACCCTGTATATCGTGGCCGACGTCGAGGCGAGTTGGAATATACGTCACAATATTGTCCTGAGGTTACCACAAACTTGGGAATTTTCTCAAGAAGGAAAATATTTAAAGATATTTCAATTAATAACCGAATAATAATTTCCTTCAATTAATAACAAGCGATGAAATGGTTGAAACGTTTGGAATCACGCAAATTATCTGCTCCATCACGTTCCTTATCCGTAGCGCTCGCGCGCAATTACATTAACACGGAAAAATGTATTCAAGGATATACAACAGACATATAAATTACTCATAAATCATAACAATTATGTATTTCCTCGTATGTAGCATATCACTAAAATATTCATAAAATATACCTTGTTGTCATATTTATTACAAACATACTTGATGTATATGATGAATATAATTTAACAGTTACCTATACGAAACGCATATATGGGCATAAATATATATTTATATTAAATTTTACGTTACGTTATATTTGTAAATATATATATATATATTTTTTTTTAATACATTTCACCGCGTATGCACGAAGCGTCTATACCCGGCGACCGAAGTCGTACGAGTCGCACGATTTAAACAGGACGCAATTGCGCGAGATCGAGTTCTCGGGAAATTATTCGAGAAGGGTGCCAACGCTCTACCCTCCTCCTTTCTCAAATAGAAGGCGGCGCGAGCAGTCATTACGTGTTTCACATCGCGTTTCAGTAATTCTCTCCTTGGTCTTCCAGCAGACTTGGTCGCCGGATATTACCGCTAAGGTCGCTCTTCCGCGCGGCCGAAACTTTCCCGCACGCACGGAACGCGCTGGACCGCGCGGACGGATCGCTCGCGGCCGCGAAAATCGGCGGAGATTAATGAATGACTTTTTTATGAATGACCGAGGAGAGGAAAATGCACGTGCATATTCGGCTCAGCACGCGCGTATCGACGACGTACCTTTATGGCTTGGAAGACCTGCCGGTCCTAGCTAGAGGCTTCTGCAGAAAACCTGCCGGATATTCCCATTCACAGAGCCGCCGCTCCATCTTCCCATATGATCCTTACGCGGTATCCTTCGCGGCTGAACGGCCGAGCGAGATTTCCCTCGACGTCCTCCGGCTGCCACCGCGAAAACGAGGAAAAGCTCACTTTCGCGCGCGTTCCGGTGGAAAAAGAGTCCAGGAGAGGGCAATATATGTATTCGAAATTTGCGATATCGCGCGAAGGGATGGTTCGATGCGTCTCGAATGCCTACCGAACGATACAATTGCCCGCTATTTGTTCACTCGAACAAAAATTGGAACTTTGCCCTTCGGCCTGCGTGAATTCGACTGCGCGTCCCTGCGGCGCTTCGAGGTCTCTTCATCGCGAGATAACGAGAACTTTCCGCGAGAGACAAGGAGAGGACAACAAGTTCGAGGATGATACCTTCTTTGACGAATCCCGCCAAGCCTTCTTCCTGACGTTATCTCCTTCTTACGTTAATTTTAATCGCGTTTAAATCTCCTTTAAACCCTCCCTTTTACGTTAACTTCCTCTTTAGCGAATTGACTTTAGCGAGATCTTTCGTGCCGGAAGATCGTCGGGCAGATTTTACGATTGATAATTCTACAACCGCTCAGGCAGTTTGCTTCGAATCCCTCTGAACTTTTTCCACAGGGATGTTTCCCGCAAATAAATAAATAAATAAGTAACCGCTCGGAAGCGCACGAGTCATCCGCTTCATCACGTCTCTCTTCGCGATCCTCCGTAAACGCCGATCCCCCCCCCCCGTCGCACTATCTTGGTCTCTCACACAATCTCACGGATTTGCCGAGGTTTCCTCGATTCTGGACTTCCGACGAGGCAGCGAAGAGCTGCCTGTTCGTCAGCGACGTCCCGTCAGCACACTTGGTCGTCGCACAAGAAGGCACTCACTCGAGGCACTCGAGAACCGGCGAGAATCGCCTCCTCCGGGGGAGGGCAACTCGGAACGTCCCGAATTACGGATTACTCGGCGAATTGTTGCTTGGACCGCAGACGCTGGAGGACACCGGCGGACCTTCCGCTCTTCGACGAGCGCTCCTCCGACTTCCGGTGAACCGTCGAGAAGACCGCTGGGCTCGCGACGGAGACACTGACGCGCGTTGCTGCCATGCTCTGGCAGGATGGCATGTCAGTGTCTCTTGGCTAACTACGGATCTACCACCTATCAGCCACCCACTCTCTCACCCCTTAGCGGCTCACTGACTACGTATACCCCACTCCACTTCACGAGAACCCTGCTCGCTATCTCTTTTTTTCCCTCCCTCTCATTCTCAGTCTGTCTCCTTCTCCCCTGTTCTCTCTCTCTCTCTCTCTCCCCCTCTCTCTTTCTCTCTCTTCCTGCCTCTTCGTCACCTCCGCTTCCACCAACGCGTGGCACCACATATCGTCGGGGTCTTATGTACCCCTCCGCTTGCGTAAAACGCAAACCGCTCGCGAGTGAAACGCCAAGCGGCAGCGCGCCGCGATTTCTCGTCTCTCTGTCTTCCCCCGGTCGCCTCGGTGAGAAGAAGAAATGAATTTCATCTCTTCCGTAAGAATAGACAGCGCAGGTTATTCTGGTAAATTGCACGCGCGAAGGCAGAAGGTACGTCGCGCGCGGAAATGGCGATCGAGGTGATTTCTTACGAACGGACGAGCGAACCGCAATTAGTCGTAATTAGTCGCAAGTCTTATGAGCTGATTGATTGCAGAAAGGATCGACCCGGCGCCGCCACTGGATGTGCCAGCCGATGAACACGATGTCGTCGCCGACGACGACACGGGATACTAATCGCTCATTCGGCGATCGGCGATCTTCCCTCGCGCGCTATAACGATGACATATCCTGGCTCGCAAGAGGACGGCCCGGCTAGAAGGGGGGGGGTATTATATTTTCTTGAGATACCATTACCGCGCCGATCACGGTGGTCCTGCCTGGCGGACGTGTAGCTTGCCCCTATCGATACCCCTCGAGATCACTGGCTTGTAATGCCTTCCTTTTCGTGGATTATTGACCAGTCAACGGTGAGCCCGGCTGCGAAAGTGCATGCTCTCGCCTTTCCTGAGGACTCGCGTCGACGACGACGACGAGGATGCGATCATTCACCGTGCCTGCGATACCAGCGTGACCGGTGTAACTTTGTTACACCCCTGTAACAAAATTCTCTCTCTCTCTCTCTCTCTCGGCAATTGAAATAAGCAGGTCTCTCGTTTTGTTATTCATCTTCTTCATATTCTCTCTTTCTCTCTTGAAGGAAAATAAGGTTCGGAAAGTATGTGATATTCATTTATCGTAAGAACTAACTTAAAATGCGAAGAAGTTTCGTCGCTTTGTGCATTTGTATATTTTCATAGTGAAACTTCACTTCTTTTAAACTTCTGGAAAACTAATTTTTTATTATTTCTTGAAATAAGAAATAGCAACTTTATCAGTCAAAGCGTACAGTTCGATTTTTAAATTAAGAAATTGAAATCATTTAATTTTTATTCAATGCTCGAACCTAAACTTTCGGTTTCATTGGAAGAATTGAGACGAGGCAATTATTGCTTGTTAAAAAAAAATAGAACAATTAATATGTTGAAAGTTTGAAAGAAACGAGCTCGCTATTGAGATGCAAAAAGACGAAACTTAAGTAAATCAGTAGATGTTTCATTTAAATCCAAATTGATTTTATTTCACGACGCAAAACTATTCACTAAGCAAATACAGTCACTATTGTTATATACAATTCCTCGTCAACGCTCCGACATCATTCGTCCATCTTTATTGTAAAAGATGGTCCCAGTTGGTCGCCGAAGAAGGCAAAGAATCTACCCGACCTCTCATCCGCCTGAATCCCTCGCCATACAAATGTACCGTGCGAATAAAGAGAACACGCGCGACAAAGTGAAGAAAAATACACAATAAAATACGTTTCCCCGTATCCGACATAAATTCGAACATTTGTTTGTTACCAAAATCGCGCACCAAAATCATCTTCCAGCACCGACTCGCGTTCTCATCGTCGTCCCCGCCGCGCCGGTGCGCGTATCCGACTATCGGATGTCCGCGCGATCGCAACTACCTTTACCGAATGTCCCATCGGACCGGACACCTGACTGCGTAGTTCCGATACGCGGATACAGGAAGAGGAAGTCGACCGCGCGGCCACACCACCGCCGTGCGTCACCGGCGAGGCCCGCGGTGTCGGGGGTGTCGTCGTATTTTCGATCCGCTCTCAGTATGCGTAGTTAGCGCAAGCTACAAGGTCGGCGAAAGAAAGAAAGCGAGAGAGAGAGAGAGAGAGAGAGGGAGGGGGAGGGGAGAAAGCGGATCGCATAGATGGGCACCGAGTCCCATGACACGCCGTGTGTACAACCTGGGTATTGGCTTACACTTCCAGCCGATTGGGCCCATGGTATTTATACGGGGCCCCATAGAAGATCCCTCGCCCTCTTGCTCCCCTTCCCTATGGCACGTTATCCTTATAATGATCCGCGTCTGCTTAAAGGCGGGCTAAATACGAAACAGCTTGAAGATAATTAAAGAGCCAGAGATGAAGTAATTTAAATATCGCCCCCTTGCAGAAGGTTTCCCTGTCGATGCAATTACAGGGATGCGGTGCGGGATATTTGAAAGATTTTTCATGAAATATCAATTTCGCAGTCTCACTGGAAGAT